ATGTAATATAACGTTTATGGTGTTAGTGATGTGTTGGACTAATCTGCATTCAATAGCCATTTTCAATACTTTCCTTTAGTTGAAATTGGGTATTTTAATACCGTTTTGTACTTCTGGAAACGTTAATTAATTTTTTTTTTATAAAACTACACAAAGTGAATTGTGAAATTAAATAAATTACGAAATGTGATGCAAGTAAGATGCTTCGCAAGGGAAATTTACGATGGCATAATAAGTGGGTGTTAAGAATCGGGCTATTCATTTTATTTATATCCTATGGAATAAAGTTGTGGGTTTTCGGTCGAGCGTTTGAAAGTTCAGTTTACATGAAGGTATCTAATTATTTTAAGTAAGTTTTCGGATAATGAAGTTTAACGTATTCCATCGTTAAACTTCATACTGTGAAGAGGTGGTGAAATGTATAGTACATCCGTCAATGGCTCTTATGTTCTGGAGGCTGTCCGAAGAGTTAACCGTTTCGGTAGCTCCAATCTCGTATACCGGGAGATCCGGCTTAGTTTCCTGGTTGGACAGTTACTTCTTTGAACAGTAAAAATATAATTAATAAAATTATTTTTGAATGCTTTGGTTTTTAATACATACGTTTCGGTTTTGAAATTTATCCAAACTGCTTTCCCATCCTTTTAATTATAAAATATTTAAAATCCATAGATTTTTTGTTGTTTATTACTTTGAACTAAATATTAACGAAGCGCGTGCCTGATATTAATTCACACTCTACAGGACTTCGACGTTAGTTTTGAATTGTTAAAATGAAATAGTTGAGAATAGAATTTCTTTCTGAGATTCTTGTGAAGCGCTCGAAAACCCAAACATCAGTTCTTTACATTGGGACACTCACGCACCTGAATTAGTTACATTCATAAAATAATGATTTTTGTTTAAAAAAAGACGCTTACAGCAATATATTGAATGAATCAATGTTTTCAGCGTTGGTATCACTAATGGAACCCTTGTTAACAAATTCGGTGTGATGTCTTGGTTTATATACAGTAATTGGGCACATCTCGGTAACAGGTTCACTTTCAGATAAGTAAAATGACTATTTATAAACTAACTGGTGGTAGACATCAATAGTCATGGTATTAGTAATGAATAATAAAACATACTGGCTATAATTGTAAAACAATAACTATATCAGGTCTAAAATTTGCATTAATCTTCCATTCACTTCACTGCACTGTATCACGTTACACATTTTCACGTTATATTACGCTATCCAGCATTCCATCGTTTGCACCAAACTACATGATTGCTTTAACATTTTTTAAATACCAGCTAATTCTAATTTCTTCCACAACTATCGACACTTGGAGAAAAATGATTTTGATAGTATTTGCAGGTAATTGTTGCTGAAATTTGGAGTATGATCATCTTCACCAAAATATTTTTTATGCAGATGACCTACGTACGATTTGTAAATAGTCAAATGCCTCTTCTTGTTTCTAGCGTTACCCAGGACCTTTTTTACGTTGCTAGCTCTGTCAACCTTGTAGTTTTACTCTGCATTCTACTTGGATCTCGTTGCAAACGTCTGTCCGAGACCCATCTTATTATTGTTCACAGTTAATTTAACAACGTATCTTCAGAAATGCGTAGTTTTTGTGACACAGTATCTCTTATAATAATTATAAAATCGTGTTTTGTAACAGTGTGTGGTTTGAGAGACTTAGGAGAAAAGAATCTATGACGTATTTAATGTAATGTTGCAGTCTGTTGACCGTTGTTAATAGCAAGAACGTAAATAAAAAGCCCGTATTGTGAAATGACCGAATGAAGAACTAGTAATTATCTTCGCACGATAGTTTTTTATTATTATTTATTATTATGATTATTATTTATTATTTTGTTAGCTTGTGTGCTAAATACATTCAGAATTTGTCCTCGGGTTTGTTTTCCAATTTAAGGGTTAAAAGCCTAATCAGAGCCTCTCGGAAACGACGGCGAAGCGGTCGCGGTCGCGTTCTCGGGCGTCGCGGCGTCGCGTCGCCGCCGCCGGGCGCCGTGCCGGCCGGGCCCCGGCGCCGCGCACCCCCGCTTCGCTCGATAGGTCGCGGCCCGGCCCAGCCCGGGCCTAGCGGGCGAGAAACGCGCCGGGCTTCGACAGCGCACCATGCAACATGACGCCACGCGATGCGATGCGACATGATGCAGCGCGATGCGATGCGATGCGACATGATGCAGCGCGATGCGATGCGATGCGACATGATGCAGCGCGATGCGATGCGACGCGACATGATGCAGCGCGATGCGACGCGACGTGACTCGGTGCGGCGTGGAGTTTCGTCCTTCGAGGAGGCTAATTGTACAGTAGTTTTTAAATTTTAGGTAATGGTCATATCTAAGCGGTGGTTTTTTTATTACTCGGAAGAACATAAACATTGTGCTAAGTTTAAATGAATATAGATTGAAGGATGTTTCAGTTTTTAGTTCAATGCATAGTTTTGGGGAATTATGGTTGTTTGAATCGGTCTTTGGGATATCTGCATTTGATGAATGGATATGCAAAATTGCCACCTAGACTAAACATAAAAAGCACGTAGCAGAGTGAAGATTTTGATAAATTTTGAGCTATTCGTGTTTTGTGGTCGCTTAATAAAGGCACATTTAATATCTGCGAATTTGAATGTTTGTAATGAACCCGGGGGCATTTATAGTTCTTACTAAAATATATTTTGAATGGCTGTTAAATTTTGGGAGATTTCTGGAGGCAGCGCATCCCCAAATCTGACAAAAGCCGCTTCAGCCGAAATTATTTCATCTTTATTTAATCTCACGTGCACATTTGTCAAACATTTTTAATTTGCATTTTTGAACAACTATTCTAAGTATTAGTCTTAAAAGTGTGAACATGTCATTTAAAACAATTCATTCCGCCAAATCAAAGAACATTAATATTTTTGTGAAATGTCAAACGCAAAGTGGTAGATGAACGGAATCAAATGTAAGCAACTAAGAGGAAAAGTAAATCATTTTATTTGAAATTGAAATAAAATGGCTATAATCTTCGTTATTTCGATGGCGGCGGATAAGCAGTGTTGGAGAGCCGAAAGGTTGTCTAAGAAAAGCGGTGCATTGTTTCACGCAGATAGGTGAATTTGTTTAATTGCAATATTTGTTTTCGCAATACTCTTTTTTTAGTCGAAGGAAAGACGTGTTTAAATAATGTTACAAAATTAGTCTTAACAACTAAAATCTAAATAATATAATCAGAATGTAGCGTAGAGCAAAATCAATTGGCAGCCAATCCTTGACTACTTTAGTTAGTTCCTGGTACATTGTATTGCATACGTCTGAGAAAGTGTCAATCAAGTTAAAGTGCTTGAATTTCGGAGTGCATTGTTGATGGCTGGGTTTTAATGAAATTAGTACGGGTTTTCGGCGTTGAACTACTGGTCAGAAATTTGCCTGCTGGTAACTCTTGAATTTTGCTTTGTTACTATGCTGTTATCTGCTTGTTCATTTAATTGTAAATTTGCTTTTTTTGTCAGAAACTAGTTATGTATTTTGCGGGGGGCTAACACTCTTACTTGATTCAGTTGATCACCATAATGAGCAATCATTCAACAATCGTATTGCTGATCTAACCGTAGTCATCCCGTGATTTCTTGGACACTTTTATAAAAATCAAGTGGAATTTCGACTCGGCGGCAGTTTCCTGGTATAAATGCTACTCAAAATATCGCAACGTCCTCTTTGCTACTAATAAATAAATCTGCAGCGTGTATATATATATATATATANNNNTATATATATATATATATATATATAATGTATGTATGTATATAACGCGTTGTGAAAGTTTCTTTACTAATGAACAATATATTTTGACCAGTGGCATCGAGGATTTGTCTTGGCGTGTGTTGGGGTGGAAGTCAATATGTATACAATTCATCAGTTATTGAGACATCTGCAGTGGTCCAACATAGTGTGTCAATGAAACTTGAAAATACATTTTCTAAATATGTATAAGGTGAATAAATTAATTTTAATATTCATCTCAAATAGATCCAAGAAAGAAAATAAATAATACATGTTCCATTTCCTTTTTTAATTAGGAAAAACTTGTATAATTGTTTGTGTTCGTTTCTGAGGTGGGGAATGAGCTCCCTATACGCGCGCTAATAATTTGCAATTGGAAGGCAACAAAATTTTATTTAACCTGTGACGTAACGGTATATTTAATATGTGGCATGCACGAGAAAACCCTGAGCTTGTGTAAGGGAGGTAAAAATAATGAAATGTATCACGATGATCCGCAAACTTGTTTCTACAAAGTATTAACTAATTCTTCGCGTTTAAAGTACATGTACCTTACAAGGGCAAATGGTAATTGTTTGGTAGGATTTCTAAAGCGTTTGTCTTCAATACATGTTACATGTGTTGCTCTTAGAGATAAATACTTATCGACTGAAATATTTTGAACTTCGTTTTCAGAAACGAGTATCTTAGGTTTTCTTCAAAATAGGTTTCGTTTAGACGCAAGTTCAGTCTTATTAGGGGGTTTCATTTTTAATTTGAAAAATTAAGAGAGTCTTTTATTTGACATTTATGTGGTTAAAAATGAAATTCTCATTTAGTTTATTTTCAAACACACTTGGTTGTACTGATTTCTGTTGCTCTATAAACTGAAATATACAAAAAAAATATTCGTCGTTAGTAAACTCGCATAACATTAACTATGGAATTCCGTGTTCTCAGCATGGTTTAAAATCATAAAACGAACACGCTTCGAATCGACAGATTCGTGTATCTCTTGTTCAGAAAGTGATATTGAGATTGATTTATTCACACCACACATCATTTACGTGCACGTGAAGCATACCAAATATATTGTCATTGCACTGGTAGACGGCGAAACTGCCGCACGGAAGTCCCGAGAAAACGGACAGGAGGAGGAGGAGCAGGGGAAGCGGCGATTGAGCGTTGAAGGGCGGATTGTGTCTAACGCGGATGCAAATACTCCTTATTTCTTTTAGATGGGCGTGTTCCCGAGTCGTCGCCGGGGAAGGGGGTGGGCGCACGGCGGCGGCGGCGGGGGTGGACAACGGAGGGAGCACGCTCACGTGGGACGAGCCCTTGTGTAGGGAACTAGGCCGAATTGCGTATAATGCGGGAGAATAAATCCATAAGAGGCGCGGTATTCGGAATGTATACATTCTATATAAGGGCTGACTAAAGGGAGGGGAAAGGGACTGCTCGTTGCTTACAAATCCCTTGTATTTCCATACGTCCGCTCCGCGCCGCTCTGCCCTCCTTAGCCGGCTCGACCCCCCCTCTCACCCCCTCCCCGCCCCCGCCCCCGCCCACGTCTCGTAACGCAGTGGGCTTCTCCAAGGCTCTCAATAGCGCACTCGCGCGCCCGTTCGCGGAGGCCGCCTTTGGGGGATATCGACTTCTGCTAAGAAAATAATTTTTCTTCCATCTATCTAGCTGTCATTTTCTTCCTCGTTCCACCTTTCTTATCGCATCAGTGCTCTCCTTTCAATTATTTGTTTGCGGTACACACACGCTCACACAAACGTACACACGCTCGCACTGAAAGAGAAAAAAGAAGCTGCCTGTCATGTGAATTTATCAGAGAGAGAGCTGAAAGAGAGGAAGACGGAGGGGAAGAGAGAGAGAGGGGTGGGTGGGGGAGAAAGAGAGTGCATTATGTGACATTGCTTCCAGTCGATACTCTGTCAGGTGCAATCAGACAGTCGCTCGGGGCCCAGCCTCTGCCGCCGCCGCCGCCGCCGCCTGCCCCGCCCCTGGGCTGCTGCAAGAGGGGCGCAGAGAGTGCCTCCATCGGTAGTGCTCTCTTCTGAAACAGGTGGCTCCCAAACGCGCTCTGCCGATTTACGAGGCCGTGGAGAGCGCACGAATTGATTCCATAATGCGCTTTGCAGATCGCTGTATTTTGGTTTATTCTTTTTTCAATAAATCCCGTTTGTTTGATTTCTTTCTTTCTTTTGTTTTGTTCTGTTTAAATACCTAGATGAAACCCATCCTAATCCCAAGTTTTACACACATTTTTCTGTTATTTTTGTTCTGGTAAGTAACATATTTTACTTGAAGCAAGTGACATTCTGGTCATTATTAACGTAAAACTACTTTCATCAAATGAATGGTAGAAATATAACGTGGAAGAAAAAAATAGTGTATTTTTGTCCCAACACTTCTCTGATGGGTCATTGTTCAAAATTTCTTAATTTATTTACATTGTTGACGATTGAATGCTTTTACTGTTGGACACTATGTAACGTCGCCGAATTTTACACATAAGTAGCAGTATCTGCTTAGACTTCTGTCTGTACCAAAAAAATTAATTATATAATTTTTCAAAGTACAATATTTGTTGCATATTACAGAAATTTCACATTGGCTTTTGAATTTTTTTTTTGTTAGAAATGTGTTCGAAATGGTGACATTTCCTTTGTACCAGACGTGTGTTGCGAAATTATAAAGCTTCAGCCTTTCGAACGACAACCTTATAATTTTTAATATCTTTTATTCTTTAGTACATCTGTAACATTAGTCTGTGTCTACATTATTCCGAATTGGATATTGATCCACCATACAATTCTAAGGAAACACTATGTTGAAGTTCCAGTTTTTCGTGCCAGACACCAATTTACGTCATTTCATGTAACTCAACAAAACTGCATTGCAATAATATTACACCAGATCATATTGACATTAATTCGCATCACAATTTTCAAACATTGACGATACAAAGTACATCAAACAAAATTGAAATACAAGGATGCCCGTTCAATTGTTTGTCAAATAAACATTTTTTCTTCTAACTCATACTAGTGTCCATATTAGAGCTCGGAAAGACATGGACAATTCATTACACAAACAGAATAATACATTGGGTATCATTTCAAATATTAAAAAAAATGGACCAGCGATTAAAGCAATAGTTTATAATTTCGAGGTTCGGAAATTTTGAATTTCAGTTATATTTACATGATTTGTGGTATTGTTAGGAATTAATAATGTGAATTTGGTTACAATTTCGCGACCTTGTAGATAATATACATATTCCTGCATGACTTAAGTCTCTTGGGTGTATTCGAAGGATTTAATTCGTTTAATGCTTTACAAATTGTCACTATAATAAAAATGCACTTGTACGTATGAAAACTTCTACAAAACGTCATGAGTATACTCGTAAATTGTGTCAAAAAAGTGAATGTTCTTTCCAAATTTAGAATAATGTGTAATTTATGAATTTACTTAACTGATTGTATTGGGTGATTGGTAGTTGTGGAGTAAATTAAGTCATTCGCTATTCGTGTGGGTCTTCCGAAACAGAATTTCACGGGCGGTGCTATTCTTGCAGAAGATAGTTATCGCTAAGCACCAAATGGCCTTGCGTTGGGCTGAAGGTGGGGAGGAAGACTTGTGCGCGCATAGAATGACTGTATCTTCTCCCTTTCTAGAATTGAAGCACGAACGAGAAGCACAACTTGGGATATTTATTTGTATGTTGTTTTACACGTTAACTATTGTAATATCGACACTTTCACTCATAGAAAAGACTTACATGCAATTAATCACTTGCTGTACAAGCAGTAAACATTAAGGTTGCACACTAAGAAAGCGAACCTAGAAAAAACACACACAATGAACAAGTGTTGTATTTCATCCACTTCAAAACGTCGGCGAACCCAGCGAAATTTGCCTGCCGTCAGTGCATTATCGTAAGTATTTTTTTTATTTTTTCAATTTCGAACTAACCATTAAGCTAAATGTGCCCCTGACCTAACCGTCGTGACTAATTACCAAAACTTTGTAATTTTTGTATCTTACCTTATTAAATCCAATGTGCGAATACATTTGAATGGATGGTTAAGAACGCTTAAAGTTCACTCGTTTTCCCCAAAAACCGAAGTTGTTCTAGAGAAGTGAGCGACTCAAAATTGAGGGATAAAGTGATTTTTGGTCATGGATATTTACAGTATCTGAAATGTTATCGTCACTAAAATCTACCGTTTCGAACACAGACGCATTTTGAAAACTAACTCTGCAATAACTCGAAGATTAAGGTATTGTGAATAGAATGATAATACGGCTTCAGTCTCTCCTCCCTCCCACTTATCTGGCGTGCAAAGACTGTTCAGAAAATATTCCTTGTGCATAGAGAACTATCGATCGCCACTAAACGAAAGTTACTCAATTTATCTTCAGGTAGATGCAAATTAAATGTTTTTATAATTAATTTGCCAAGTTCTAGACGTATATGTTTAATTAAACCATCCCGTACTATAAGCATTGATTTGAATTAAAACATTTCTAATTTTAATTGACGATCTGAGATAAAAGTTCAGATGCTGAGCACAGGAACTTCGTCGGCTTCATTTTCAACAAGTTACAAGCCCTTCATAGGGCTTGAGGGAGACTTGCAATCATATATGCCCTTTAAATAAATAAACGAGTGAAGAGTGATGTTTTATTCGTGCAGTGTAAACTAAGTGGTTACAAAGGTGGGAAAAGTGAGAAGTGTGGTTTGGCAGGTATCTGACTGGCGTTGCCATTTTCCTTTCCATATTGAAATAATTTGGTTTCATTCTTTTGCAATTATTTCTTTCTTGATGTTCATTTTTTGTTGTGTACTTGATTTCTCATGCGATGGATGTAATTAGTAATAATACTTCATATTCTGAAAATTTTGACAAAACAAGTGCACTAGCTGATGCGAACATTCCCCATTTTGTAAATGCTAGTTTTAAACTGGAAAATAGCTTTTTACTGGATCCCAACTTCAGGTCAGACCTTGAACAGTACATTGAAGCATTGTAGGCTCACCATAACAGGTGTGTTGAAGCGAAAATTTAATTTTGCATAGATTTCTAGTTTCTGACCACCATGCTACGTTATAGGAATCTTCAAAATACCTAAATCTCTACTCAGTTAATCGCTCGACCGGACCACAACATGTTTCTCCACATGCCCCCCCCCCCATTATATTTCCCTCGTCTGATCCTTTGCAAGTTCTCTACGTGTTTCCGGTATGTGCCTCCGCAAGATCCTCCACACGTTCCTCCCATGATCGCCTTCCCCTTTTCCTCACATTTTTATCACAGGCCCCCTCAGATGTACTCTATTGTTCTCCCTAATCTATCTCACCATACGTTACTGCAATTTTTAATCTGAAAATCCAAAAATTTTAAATGTGTTGTTGTTTTTTGAAAATACTTTTATGAATGTTGCGACGATGCATAGTGCAGTGCATCCCCTGCCGGATGAAAAGGGAAGTTCTTAATACCCAGAAGAACGAAGCTCACAAAAAAGGTAATGGAAGCACCTCAAATATTTTAACAAAAAAATGCAATCTCAAAAAAACATCGAACTCTTTAAATCTGTGTTTTAAAAGTGAAAAAATAACTTCGCACTGGAACCCAACGCGACTTTTGAGGCAGTCCATGCTAGGGTGTAACGGAACCATAAAAAATGAAATAGAATGTTTAAAAACGTCTAGTTTTGTTGTTTACAGTGGAGAAAACATAACTTGAGTTCATACAGGGGCATGTGAAACTAGTTTCAAAGCTCTAGGGCGCATTGTGCACAACTTATCGACGATAGAAAAGTGTGATTCTGTGTAATGTCTTTTGCGTGCTGCATGTTCGCCTGATGATCCAAATACCTGGGAACTTGTACGTTTTTCTTCCTAATACTCTTTGATGCGTCCCTGAAGAGTAATTCGTTGTCCAACAGTAAAACACGTAGGAGGGTTTTGTATCCATGGTTTCTTGTGAAAGAGAATAATCTGTGATATTTCTTTAGCGTATTACACAGAGAGAATTATGTTTTTTTAAATCGATAGCAGGAGAAACAAATATTTTAAAGTTACTTTGCAGCATTTTGTGGAAACATCTCTCATAATTAGAACGTCGTCGTGTACAATGGCCAAACAAAATCGGAGTGACTAACATCACTTCATAGAGTAAGCAACGTAAGTCCCCAAGAACACCTCGGTACACTATACGACGAGAGTACATGCTCGCAGAACGCTTTAAAGAACATGCGTTGGGAGACTGAACACCTATGCCGCGCGTTGTCTACTAACCATGGAAATGTACTCGTCTATTACCCGGATATTGAAAAAATAATTATGAAATGTGTAATAGTGAACAGCAGTGGGAATGCCCGGTCCTGAAACTTTTCCTTGTCTTAGTTTATTACTCAACAACTACTCATATTTAAAAAAATAATAATGTATGTCATCATTCAATGTTCAAAAGTTTAGAATAAATTGCATTGAGGAAGAAATCTTTGATTTAAAATGTTGGGAACGTAGGACAGCTTCAAAAATAAAAATGAACTTTTGCAATTTTCAAAGTTTTATTGAAAAACGGAATGATGTCATTTTATAAATCCACTTTATTCTCATCCAAAAATTTAAAGAAAAAATGTTTACACATTTTTCAGAAAACGAAAAAACGTTTTAAACTTATGAAACCTTTAAAACGTGTTATAGTAGGGATAAATTTCTATCATTTTTTGTGAAACTGTATACCATTCGCTGAATGTTGAAATATGAACAGTTTATAAAATTGCAGAAGAGAAAAAATTAACTTAAAATAACATTTTCAAAGTTTTATTGAAAAACGGAACGATGTCATTTTATAAATTCACTTCATTGTAATCCAAAAAATTAAAGAAAAAATGTTTAGCCATTTTTTAGAAAACGAAAAAACATTTTCAATTTGTGAAACCTATAAAACGTGTCATAATAGTGATATATTTCTGTTATTTTTTTGTGATAATGTATACCATTTGCTTCATGTTGAAATATGAACAGCGGCGGCGGCGATGGTGTAACGGTTAGCGTACTGGACTGTTGTACCCTAATTGGCGGGTTCAAACCCGATCGAAGCCGTGGATTTTTAAGGGCGAAAAATTCTTCGTACGCCTTCCTGCGGAGGGGAA